CTTTATATTATAGCCTATGTCTTTCATCTTATTTAACTATAATCATGATTCACGGGTACAGAATTAAATTGGTGCTGGCTGCTGTCGAATAACGGGTCGGGTGTTCTGTTGTGTACTGCGGATGCAGGGCGTCTCTCCGTCAGATAACCTCACGTGCATGATGCGCCATTTACGGGTATTTCCCGGTATTTCCCTAAACCGACACACATCAATTTATTTTGATTTTTTTAATTTTATTTCAGTTTACGAAAAAAATTTTTGACCAATCGTTTTCGTCTTAGTTTTAGTTTTAGTTTTCGTTTACGAAAATAACCTTGCTGGAGACGGGGAGTGTGTGAACCTGGCATTACGTTTGTATGCCCGCCCGGTCTGTTCTGTTCTCGTGCGCCATTTAGGCGCGCTGCATTCTGATTGGTTCGGATAGCATACTGCAGGAAGTCGGGGGCGCGGAAAATCGTGCTGTAAAGCGATTTAGAAATCTCGCAAGCTCAAACCGCGATTTTATGACGATTTCATCGCACAGCCCTACTGGAAAGTCACAAGTTCATTGGTCGAAAGGAGCAGAAGCTGGCTCATTAACTCGCACTGAAATCTGTTCAGAAGTTTAAAGCCCTTGAATACTTCAAGGGAAATTGAAGAATGTCATTTCAAATCAAATCTGTTTGTCTGTGTTTTGAAGTTAGCATGTTTTATCTCCAGGTTATGCTTTCAATGCCCAGGACCGCTGTGTGTGTGCTGGCTACGACAACGGTGACGTCAAGTTATTTGATCTCAGAAATATGTCTTTACGATGGGAGACAAACATCAAGAACGGGGTAAGTGGGTAAGACATATTTTACTTGGATGAGCTTTGATTAGGGATGCAACGATTCACAGTTGCGATGCGATTGAAGATATTTCACGGAATGATTTTATAAACTTTTTTTTTTTTTTAAAGAGATTTAAGACATTAAAAATGAAAATGTGTCCTTTTATTATTTCTCAAACAAAATGCTGCACATTTTTTGGGGGAAATTGAAATATGTCAAATAACAAAACTAAATAAAAAATGTAAAACAAATCCCAAATCAAATAAATAAAACACACAGCAGAAATCTCTTCATATTAACAAACTAAGGCTTTACCTGTGCCCTTTCCATTTACAATTAGAGGCAATCACTGCATTTTAATCATAATCCAAACACAGATGCTGCAGACATGCACCATGAGCAGTTTTTGATTTAAATGTAGAATTTAGAAATCTCAGAATGGTCTGACTTTAGCTTTGTGAAACTATCCTACATAAAACATCTGAGCGAAACAGCATATGGGCTGAATGTCTCTGACAGCAGGTGGCGCATTTCCTCGATTGCCGCTGTAAACAAAGCAGCGCTGCGCTAATAAACACTGCTTGCATTATACAGAGACAAGATGAAAAAAGTACCATCTAAACTTTTCTGAAGACAGAGATGCATTCATATAAACCCCCCACCAGCAGCTGTATCGCCATTCCTTTAACATCTCAACCGACTTGAACTGTCACATATTTTGATCAGTGTTGGGGGTAACATACCTTGTTTTCCTATTTATTCACTGACACCTTTCCTGTCCCTGTGTTGAGTGCAGAGGCATTTTCTTCAGCCTGAGGCTTATTAATTTCACTCTTGGTATGATAGGGCCTTTACAGTCAGCAAAAATATAACTTTTGGGTTTTCTGTTATTAAAAATAAATAAGCAAACCCAGCCCAGGTGACAAAAAGTAACACAAAACTAACATAATGCACTAATTACTTTACATAAAAAAGTAATGCGATTACTTTTTTTTACAGAGTAACGCAATATTGTAATGCATTACTTTTAAAAGTAACTTTCCCCAACACTGATTTTGCTCGTTGCATAACTACCTTTGATTTCTGCATGTTGCTTCCTCAAAACTATTTCAGTGTACACTATTATTAAACCCCTCTGGACACCTAATCAGTGCTGTCTAGCTGCCTGTGTAGAGAGTGAGCTCAAGTACACTTCATCTACAGATAACCATCTAGTCATTCAATCTCATCTGAAATGCATGTGAACGTGCTGTGTAGAAATAAAAGGGTGGTTTAAGCTGGCTTTGATGTGGGCATCAGATCTGATGGATTGTAAAGTGGCCGAGCAGGAATAGAAACAGTGGGAGCAATCTAGTTTTGAGTAGATGCAGTGTAACAGATAAAAACCTCTGTGTGTTTTTGTCTTTGGCAGGTGTGTTCTGTTGAATTTGACAGAAAATACATCAACATGAACAAACTAGTGGCAACGTCTTTAGAGGGCAAGTTTCATGTGTTTGACATGAGGACCCAGCACCCCACCCAAGGCTTCGCTTCCGTGTCGGAAAAGGTAGGCCACACTCCGCTCAGGATCATTAATGGAAGGGAATAGTAACTGCTTGGTTTTGATTTATTTATTCATGTGAAGGATGATCGTGACATTTGCCTTCATGCAGTTACAATAACTGAGCACTGAAGATTTCAAGCTTAAAAAATGATGGGAAAAGCAGCATAAAAGTATGATATAAGATTTGTGTGCTATATTAATTCTTCTAAAGCCATATGATAACTGTAACTGTGTTTCAAACCAATATGTGACACTGGACCACAAAACCAGTCATAAGGGTCATTTTCTTGAAATTGAGATTTATGCATTTATGCAAAGCTGAATAAATAAGCTTTCCATTGATTTGTGGTTTGTTATGATCGGACAATATTTGGCCGAGATACAACGATTAGAAAATCTGACAAGTGTGCCGCTCTGTTGCATGGAGGGTTGGCTATTGCTACAAATATACCAGTGCTACTTAAGACTGCTTTTGTGCTCCAGGGACACAAATTTGATAACAAATATTTGAAACCTATAAAGAGGAATTTTCATTGAATAATGGCTGAATTCTGTTCATCACACAGAGGCTTCAGAAGATTTGGATTGTAGCACATGAGTCACAAGGGACACTTTTATGATAGCTATAAAATGCTTTTGCATACTAAATCATTGTTTTGCACATTTACTGTTAAAACAGTTACACAAAAGTAGAGCCCGACCGATATGGGTTTTTTGGGGCCGATACCGATATTTGGGAGTAAAAAAAGGCAGATATCGATATATCGGCCGATATTCTTTGTGTATATTATAGTACAGTACCAGTCAAAAGTTTGGACACTTTCCCATTCATGTGTTCAAACATTTGACTGGTACTATATATAGAATGTATATTATGTATATACAGTATATACATAAACAGAATATATATACATAAACACATTTCATGGCGGAATATCATGTGAAGTCCACTTCTCAGGGCACTTACGGTCGAATAAGACAACGCTTGAATGCTGCTGCCTGAACAAGAGACCTCCTTACTCTGGAAACGGGACACTTCTTTCACATTTTCACTCCTTACACTACTGAAGTGAAAGTGTTGGCTGGTGTAACTATCTCGCGAACACGCCAGCGGATCTCCACCAAATTCGGGGGATCCCTTCAGCTCGAGGAGCCCTCTTGGACCACCAAATTCGGGGGATCTCTTCAGCTCAAGGAGCCCTCTTGAACGCCACCCTCCACGCGTCGGTAGTCCCCCGGGATCGCTAGATCGGTCGGCGCCGGACCGCGAATTTAACCACCCGTAACTCCCAAACCCCGGGGGCTAGCGACGCGGGGGTGGTCTCATTCGAAAGAGGGCCTCGAGACATACACTCGATTCACATTTGAGAGGGTTCCTCAAGCTGAAGGGATTGATTACGCCGTTACGGAGATATGGCCGTTCAAAGTTTCAATGGTTTTCCATAAACTTAAGCTTTAAAGCGTTTCATCCAGGTCGCCAGTAGCAAACAATGGAGCGCGCTCTGCTGGACAAACTAAGTAATTACACCATTTCAAGCATTTTATCTGCGTTATATGCTCTGTAAAAACTATTTTCATATCGGCGGCATATTCGCCGATACCGATATATCGACGACAGGCTCATATCGGCCGATAATATCGGCTAAACGATATATCTGTCGGGCTCTACACAAAAGCTTGCAGCACTCTGCGGTGTCTTCTGATTGGTCCACTGTTTTGGAACTGACACTGATGAGCAGCACTGCTTGTAAATGTTGAAATTCTTTTAACTTGACACTCATGTGCGAGATGCTGCAAAAGATGCGAGCGCAGCGGTCCATCTAGCGCACATTTACATAGAAAAACTGTGTGAACGGAGTATTATTACTCTTTGAGAGTGTTTAACATTTGCTTTCTGGATTTCAGGCTCACAAGTCTACAATATGGCAAGTGAGGCATTTGCCTCAAAACCGCGACATCTTCATGACAGCCGGCGGAGCCGGTAATCTGCATCTATGGAAATAGTAAGTGATTTCTTGGAGGTAATATTTTTAACTTCTGAAGAGCCGGCGCTTTGTTAATATTCTCACTGTGCCCTTTTTGATGGCTCATTGTTTCTGTACTGTCACAGTGAGTATCCAGCCCAGAGGACTAAAAAGGGTGCGGACGATGTAGACATGGGCGTCGCTGGCTCTGTGAACCTCCTGCAGAACGTCACTCTGTCCACACAACCCATTTCCAGTCTCGACTGGAGCCCGGACAAACAGGGCCTCTGTGTTTGCTCTTCCTTTGACCAGTCTGTACGAGTCCTCATCGTGACCAAACTCAACACAATCTGACTGAACTCCAGGTAACAGACTGGAATATCTGATGACTGGTTACATGCCACATGTACAGTATATCTTAAGTTCATATATTTGAGTTATTGTTTTTTAAGAAAACAGTAATTCTTTGTGATGTTAGCCGGTGTTCTTATGCACAATGTGAAGACCGTGGTGAAGTTATTTCATGACAAAAAGAATGTAATTAAAAATATACATTTTGCCTTTGCAGTGTTTCATCAAGTTGTAGTAATTTGCTCGGCCTCAGGCTGATGTCACTTCCTCCTCTCTTTCTGTAATGCCCACTTCTCAAGATCCAGTCAATTCCCTGTCATCCCATCTTACTTTTTTCTTGATGAACATCTTGTTTCACACTGACTAAAAATATATGCCACACAATGCCGGAATGGATTTTGACCAAAGCATCTGTTTAATATTCAGAGTGCATTTAAATAAGGCATTCCCAAACTAAAAAGGTCATATCCAACACTTGAATCTTGCAAGTCTTGCAGCTCCTCGTCACTGATTTGTCATGAATTCCAGCGTAAACTCTCCTCAGAAGACTGCTCGTGAACTTCCCTTCAAGTGCTTCGATATATTTTGCAAGACATCCTTTTATTAAGCAGAATGTTTTAATTTCAGCACTAACATTACTCAGATTGAAGTTACATTTTGTAAAAGATTTTGTCAAAATGTCATGCATAAATGAAAGTATAGCTGAAGTAAGAGCAGATCTTACCAAGTCCCATGACTTTTCCATGCGCTCTCAGGTTGGGCAGTAGCTGAGGATGTTCACACAGTTCATGTTTCATCAGAATATGCACGAGCTCTCCTGTTATGAAGGCATCTTCAAAGGTTTGCTCACAGACAGGCTTCAGCGGGAATCTACTGTAGACGTCCACAGCAGCCAGAGGATCCTCCTTCATTTACATTTAGTCATTTAGCCAAAGCCACTTACAAAGTAGAAGCAATCCCACCAACAAGAGAGCAACAATATGCTTACTGACACTGCTTATGATTTATGGGAATTAAAAAAGGGTGGATTTTTATCATTATAGGGTGGTTGTGTCAACACACTGCCAACACACATTTATGTCCAAACGACATGTAAAAGTGAATTTTGCATAATAGGGGCTCTATAACTGCAACTTCATAATGTACTGCAATGTCTACTACAGAAGAATAGCTGATTTAAATAACAGATTAGGTAAAATTGTTTTATTGTATGAGGTTTGACTAAAGCAAGTTATCATTTAATGCCAAAAGCAACCATTTTTATTTTATTTTTTTGTAACTTTGATAAATGATGGAATGCTCGTCTTCGTGATCTTTGTATTCTTTGACCACAGCAGTTCACTTACAGTCGCCGTTGCTGTTCTATCTGCAGCTGTTGCTTAAAACCTCTATTATGAACAGGCAGAATATCTGAGCGCAGTGACTGACCTTAAAGTCCTGACCATGTATAGACTCGGTGAACACATTCGGGCAGACACAAACAGACTGTTCCTCACTCAACACTAAATCAAGTGGAATCACGTTTTCCGTCACTTCTGTAAAGAAGGAGTCCCAGCTAGTAGGCTATATCGCACGTGATGCTGCAGCTGGTGGATCGTTTATAGCCTTTTTTTTCACAGCAGCTGGAATAATTAAACATTTTGATGGCGGATTGTAATCCAGTAAGGTCCATATATGACAATCATCAGTGACAACTTGAGTTAAGATTATAATAATTTAATTTTAAAGCATTTTTTAAAAATTAGAAACAGTTTAATAACTATGATACTGTTTTTGAAATACCATTCAAGATGTATTTTAATAGGAATAGGACACATGCTTATTAAATGACTGTTTTATTTTCTATTTGGATTTTTGTATATGCTTTATTGTTTAATAATAACTTAATATTGTTTAATAACCGTTTTTTTCAAGGCATTGTTAGATTCCAGTCTTTCCTGTCATGCATGTGCAAAGATTTGATTTCAGTTGAACAGTTGAAATCATTTGTTCAAAATTCAGAAAAGTAATCAAATGTTACATTACTTTAATAAAACAATTGAAATAGTTACACAACTTATATATATGATATAGTAAGTGGCAGTACTGCACAATAATTATGGTTGTCACCTGTCACTAAATATAAAAAGAATATGAAGAAGGCAGTGCCAAAAAACATTAAAGGGTTAGTTCACCCAAAAATGAAAATTATCCCATAAATTACTCACCCTCAAGTCATCCTAGGTGTATATGACTTTCTTCTTTCAGACGAATCCAGTCGGAGTTATATTAAAAATGGTCTTTGATCTTTCAAGCTCTATCGTGGCATTTAGCGAGTGTTGCATGCATCAGTCCATAAGCACTTAAATAAAAAGCGCCCATCCATAAAAAAAAGTGTCTCACACGGCTCCGGGGGGTGAACAAAGGCCTTCTGTAGCGAATCAATGCGTTTTTGTAAGAAAAATATCCATATTCAAAACGTAATAATCACTTTAATCTAGCTTGCGCTCACTGTTGTAAACGGAAGCAGTTCCGGGGGAATCACGTATGAGGTCAGCTTTGCGCATGCGCCGCTCAGATGTGACGCACGCAGAGAGATCGAAACAAAACACCGGTCAAGGATTAGAAGTACAAAACGAGGATTTGTAAAGAAGAATGTTGGAGGATTTCGATATAAGCCAAGAGGAGACTGGTTTTCCTTTGCTAAAGTAAGGAAACTTTGCTTCCTTTGCTCCTGTTAACAAACGCTGGTTTTCACGAGACTCACCGGCGCATGCGCAGCACTGACCTCATACGTCATCAGCCCGGAACTGCTTAGTTTACAAAAGTGAGCACAAGCTAGATTAAAGTGATTATTACGTTTTGAATCTGGACATTTTTCTTACAAAAACGCATAGATTCACTACAGAAGGCCTTTGTTCACCTCCCGGAGCAGTGTGAGACACTTTTTTTTATGGATGGGCGCTTTTTAATTAAGTGCTTTTGGACTGATGCATGCAACACCCGCTGAGTGCCATGAAACAGCTTGAAAGATCAAAGACAATTTTTAATATAACTCCGACTGGATTCGTCTGAAAGAAGAAAGTCATATACACCTAGGATGACTTGAGGGTGAGTAATTTATGGGCTAATTTTCATTTTTGGGTGAACTAACCCTTTAAGCTCTTTTATATGCCTTTTTATGCTTGCAATCTTTGAGTGTGATTCATTGGCCAAAAAAAAAAGGCAACAAGCACCTTTCCAGTTTTTTTTTTTGACAGCCAGAGGAACAGTGTCTGCACATAATCAGCATTATAGCATATGGCTCTTTCATATGAGAACGATATTAATATGTACACACTGTTGAGTAAAATCTGGTTGATGTAACACTTATGTCATCTAGGGGTTTGAGGTGTTCAGACAGTAGCAGACACACATGCTGCTCTAGCACTTATGAGCTTAAATAGCATTTTTCTGAAAATGTGTTTCACTTTGGTATTTACTGTATATGACTTTGTTGTTTATTTCATCTCCCCCTCCAGATTTTTATGTTTAGAGTAGGGCTGTCAAAAACAACACATTTATTTCTGCAAATAATCTTTTTTTACTGTTTAATGCATTAAAAATAATTATCTCAATTAATGTAGCATCCGTTTTCCTATTCTGAACTAGCTATGCTAATGTGTATTTCCTCACATCCCCTCATTGGAGTTACAGTATGTCTGCGTCTTTCCTAGTTCAGTCCTTCTGAGGTATCAAGACTAGAGTCCTTTACAGCATTAAACACTACAATTAGTCGATCTAGTGAGTGCACATGTCTGAGTCATAAAGGTTTCTGCCCATTCAGTCACAACACGAATATGCTATCAAAATTAATTTCTTATTTATTTTAAAAATGAATGTGAAATATAAACTGGGGAAAAAAGAACTGACAGCTGTCACTCAATCAGAGAGAGCTAGTACTGACAGATACAGAAGCATCACTTTACCATATACAACACACTATATTAAAGGAAAAGCTAAATGACATTTACTTTATAATGAAATTACATTAGTGAGGATTATTTTAAGTTCACTTAAATTAATAGTTATAATATTTTTTAATGTTCCATAACAGTTTAAGCTTCTTAAATGTAAAAAAAAAAATATATATATATATGGCACAAATGTTACTGTTATGTTGAATCAGTATATTTATTCCCAGAAATTGATTTAAAAAATACATTCAACAGAGGCATCTGGCATCTTAGTAAAAAGATGCCATTAAACAGTAATTTAATTAGATTAGATTAGATGTACTTTATTGATCCCCGATGGGAAATTAGATTGTCATGGCAGCTCAATACAATCAATAAACACTTAGAATACATGTGACTACAATACCCTTTAACTAACACAGTTCTGTCCTAGATAGATAAGTTATACACTATTAGCACTAGGCAAGAATGATTTCCTATATCGTTCCTTCAAGCAACGAGGCTGAATAAGCCTGTTGCTAAAGCTACTCTTAAGTTTATCCAGGGTTGTATGAAGGGGATGAGCATCATTGCCAGCATTCTGACCACTTCCTCCAGAGTACCAAGCTTAGAGCCGACAACAGACAGCCTTTTTGATGAGTTTATTTAGTCTGTTGGCATCCTTTGCTTTGATTCCCGCGCCCCAACACACCACAGCAAAGAAGATAGTACTCGCAACAACAGTCTGATAGAACATCTTGAGTATCCTGTTGCACACGTTGAGAGACTTGAGCTTCCTCAAGAAATATAAACGACTCAGGCCCTTCTTGTAGACAGCCTCCGTATTTGTAGACCACTCCAACTTGTTGTCCAACTCGACTCCCAAGTATTTGTATGATTTCACAAGTTCCACATTAATCCCCCCAATGCAGCCTGGAGAGGGTGGGGTCTTATTCCTGCTGAAGTCTACCACGATTTCTTTTGTTTCGCCACATTTAACTGCAAGTGATTTTCCCCACACCACTTCACAAAACAGTCAACGAGATCTCTGTACTCCTCCTCCTGCCGTTCCTCTACACAGCTTACTATAGCTGTGTCATCCGAGAATTTTTGCAGATGACATAAATCAGAACTGTACCTAAAGTCCGCAGTGTTAATTGTAAACATGAAGGGAGATAGCACAGTTCCCTGAGGGGCCCCGATGTTACTTATCAGACGTTCAGACACACATCCCTGTAAT